TGACAAATCCCACGCTTGTTACAAAGAACCAAAGATGACAAAATCTTCGTGAGAGGGTCAACGCCTTTAAAGCAGCGGTATCAGTCAGGGCCACAAAACGTAATTCGCGATAAAACAAACTGCAATGCATTTAGCTAAACATCAAGCGAACCTTTAGGATTCCAGCGAGTTTGCGTCAGATCAAAACCAATGCTCTCGCCAATTCTGTCACGATCGTGAAATTGAAAATGATTGAGATTCTTGCAGCCGATAACCAACCAACCAACCAACCAACCAACCCACGCGTAACTGTGCGACCAGCCATGTCCCTTTGCGTTTTATCCCGTCGTAAAAGATGTCATAGACGGTCACAGGGAGGCGATTTAAATCAAGCTGCGGGGACTGAGCTCAGGGCAGCGTGCTATAACGAGCTAGCCGAGGCGGGCAAACCAAGTACCTGGAGTCCCCACCTGAGCAGGAGCAGGGGATGCAGTCTACAGGGGATGAGCTCGTCCGAGGATCTGAGCATGTTGCCACAACTGCGGGGACAACGTGTTCGCCTCACAATTCACAACCACGGGCGCGCTCCCCTCCCCGTATAATTTTTTATTGCCCAGACACGACCGCGATCACAACTACTCCCCCCGCTCCTCTTCAGATAAAACGTCAGACATTGCAAACGTCGGTCTCATCCCGTGGGGGGGGGGGGGGAACCCAAAACAATTACTTAGAAAAAGGCAAATAATTGTCCCCTGTGAACACGCAGCGCTGTGGTCGCGTTAATACGCCCAGGTGCGTTCACGCTGCCCGGCGGGGACCAGCGCATCGCCGGGGGTCTACACACCGGCATGACTGGGGGGAGTGGGCGTATCATTGACCCCGCAATTCAAACTCCTGTCAGATATTGTGAAGGGGAGCCGGTCGTCACAGCGGCGGCGAGTTGGAGCTACTTGCTCGGCCGCCTCTCCGGGTCTGTGCGCCGCGCATCCCAGAAGACCGGAGTCGCCGGCACACCGCCACGACCATCCTTCCTGAGGCGCTCGCACAGAGCAGCACAACTCCGCCAGTTTAATTCGGCAGCGGTTTTTTTTGTTTGTTGTTTCTTTGCTTTCCGGCTGCGATATCTGTGTTACCTCACCCATCTGCTTCCCTCTAAAATGAAGTGATACAACGTTTCATCGTCTGTGTTTTTTACACCCCCCCTGCGGTACGTACAGACGCGCTTCGCCTCTCTCTCCGCACTGACATACAGTACTGTGCAGTAGATCTTTCCGGGCGCAAAAGCACGTTTATCCCAAACCGAACTTTCCAGCCCTGCTGATGGGAGGTACCGGCGACCCTTACGACGCATCGGTCCTCGTTTTATCCCGGACTAGCAACGACAACAACAACAACAACAACAACAACAACAACAACAACAAAAAAAAAATCAAGTACAAAAAGCGCACCGAATGAAAAAACGAATCCATCCATCTGCTCTTCAGTGTACAGTCCACCCGGACGCGCTGCAGTTACTCGAATGCCGGCCAGCGGATTACTGGACGCTCCCCGCTGTCCACCCTTAGCCAGATTCCCGAGCCGCCTGCCTTTCCTCCCCGGCTGATGTCCGCTTTCAGCGGCGCGCCCCGGAGCGGCCCCCCTTCCCCGGAGAAAGGCAGAGAGCTACACGTGTGTCTTACCGTGACCATGGGCGGGACGTTCCCACTGTCGACACCGGCCCCGGGCGAGGCTGCCGAGGCGGACCGCGCTCTCTGCCTCCTCCCGGCTGTCCGCCGCGCAGCGCCGACACCCCAGGCAGCAGTCAGACAGCCCCTCGGCCGGGCGGGTGGGCAGGGCAGAGCCGCGGAGAGACGCGAAGGGGTTGCGCGCATGGACGCGTGTGTGTACAGTATATATATATACGCGCCTGTGCGTGTGTAGGACACCAAAACCGCGGGGCATTCCTCCTCCCCCCTCCCCTCCCCGCTCGCTCGCTCGCTGCTACTTCTTTTTTTTTTTTGGCCAACAGAACGAAACGCTCGTCATCGTCATTGGGCAAACCGGCGCGGTGAGGAGAGATCGGGTTACTCCATTCGCTACAGAGTACACATAGTGATCGATCAATGTGAAATTAGAATCCTCGCCGTTTTAAGTGAGTTCAATACTACTACTACTACCACCACGGCTACCATAATAATAATAATAATAATAATAATAATAATAATAATAATAATAATAATTTTACCCTCCACCCAAAGGTAGGATGTTGCAGAATCATACTGAAATAACTATCACATTTTCAGATAGATCAGGTGATTCTTCAGGCACGTACAGTCCATTCATTTTTAAAGACTGACATCTCTAGCGCGCCCTGAGGTCGCAGACTTGTATGCATATGATTTTCCCTTTGTAACCGAAGATTTTGTGTTGTTTTGTATTGTACTGGAAATTCATCTAAAGAAACCGGTGTTGTATTTAAACGTCAACAATTCATGCGGATGAACGACACACATCACCGACAGTAGCGCCACAGGCTGAAACCCGATCTTGTCAGATCTCAGAAGCTCGGCGAGGCTGCGTCCAGCCAGTACTGGAATGGGAGAGCTCCCAGGAAAAAACAGGTTTAGTTTATTTTTAACATCTAATATTAAAGAGTTTAGCGATAAAATCTGATTTCGTAGTTATTTACTTTGGGCATCGTGCACGTTACATCGCTCGCTTGTCTGCGAACTGCTCGTGAAATAATTACATGTTATCTTCAAGAAAATCGCTTCTTGGTCCCACCTCGCCCATAGAATTTGCTGCGGAAAATGTCTCGAAATGTCAGACATTGCTTGGCGATATGCCAGATTTGGCAATGCCTTGGGTTGGATCTAGTACTGTAGGTGCAACATCTCTGCTCACTCTATACAACGCCTTGCAAAAGGAATTATGACCCCAGCAGGCTGCACTCATGAGTCACGACTCTTTGCGGAGACAATTCATATTTGTTACCCGCACACCTTCCTTTATACCTTAAAAGCAACAAAAAACTGAACTAAACAGATCATTAATGTGAAAGAAAAGTGGAGACACGACGATTGCACAAGTACACGCTTGCTGTGGAAAACGTCAATTCGTTTTTGTAACCACACAATGAGCCACACAATTAGTTGAGCTGGCTTTGTCTGTCTGTAGTAATACCGGCTCACAAGATTTCACAACAGATCCACCTCCCTCTGCAAGCTCTCGCCGTCAGGTGGGGAAATTCAAGCAAAGATGTAGACCAAAGAGCTTTCAAAACAATTCAGGCGTAAAACTGTATAAAGGCACAGGATGAAGGTATAATTTATTAAAAAAAATTAAAATATATAAGGTATAAGGGATAAAAGCATTTCAAATAGTCCAACTATCTCTGTAAGCGTGGTGAAGTCAACCAGTATGAGGTAGAAGGCACCCAGACTGCCTAGATCAGGCCTCCACTCCAAACTGAGCAGCCAGGCCAGGAGGAAATGGGTTCGACACGCCACTGTGAGGCCAGCAGTGACCCTGAAAGAGCGACACGGCCCAGTCAGTGGCTGAGACGGGAGAAAATATCCAGGAGTCAACAATATCCCCGTCACTCCACAAATAACAGTACGGAACTGAAATCCCAGTCAATCCCATCTCAAATCCCAAATAGAGTTACAAGATAATGCCCAACTGATACTGCTAACGTGTTTACTGCTCATCAAAGGGCTTGTGGTCAAAGAAGACAAATTTGGAACTTTTTGGTTTACAATGCAAACCTGACGTACAATAAAGCCAACGCAGTGCATCACTCAGACAACACCCTCCCTGCTGTCAAGGGTTGAGGTGGCAGCAGTGTGTTACAGGTCTGCTTCTCATCCGCAGGGAGTGTTGATGCAGCAAAGTCAGGCAAATCCTAGAGGAAAACCTGCTCCAGACCTAAAACCGGGACAAGAATTCACCTGCCAGCAGGTCAGTGATCCTAAGCACAAGGCCACAGCTATACGGGAGTGGTTTAAGAGAAGGTTAATGTCCACGAGTGGCGTTAAATGTTATTTAATGAAGTCTTGGCATGAATCTTACTGGGAATCTGTGGCAAGTCCTGAGAACAACTGTCCATCAGTGATCCCCGAGGAACCTGACAGAACTTGAGCAAATCTACCAAGAGAGAAGGGACTAAATCGCTCCAGGATGGTGAGCGAAGTAGGTCAAGACTTGCCCAACAAAGACCTGCTGTTGTGTTGGCTGCCAAAGATGTTTCCTCCAAATGCTGAGGTCAGGGGTGTCAGGGGTGTCAGGGGTGTCGGAAGGGCAGGCTGTGGAATGACCAGGAGGGCAGTAGAGACCCTGTGCGTAGCGGTAAAAGGGCAACATGGGGATTAGCCCAGGCTCAGGGGGTCAGATGATGTCGGTATAGAAACCTGTGCCCTCAGGCCACAGACGTGTGGCGACCTGGTGCTAGGCGGGTCTCTGGACATCCGTACCCTTCAAGCTGAGCCAGGAGCAGAGCAGACACAGGAAGTAAATAGGCAACACAACCAGACATGAACAATCACAGGGAACTAGGAACAGGACAGAAGCAGAGCGCCCTCTAGGTGTGGCAAGGGGTCTGAATACTTGCACAATTGATGGTTTCAGTACTGTTCTCTTTAGTTACTCCTCTTTAGACACAGTGAATGCTGACATTCCACACATAACATGAGCAAACACAGCCCCCAGGCCTCTGGGGTACTCCTGCGTCAGTCACTCTGTGACACATGGAGAAGCAGTCAGGAGAAGGAATGTGGGTTCAAATCCCAGGTGAGACACTGCTGTTACAGTAAAGGACCCACCTGTAGACATGGGTGAAAATATAAGATACTTTGATTGCTATTGGTAAAAATAAGAAGGAATAAGGAAGAAGCTGTACATCAGGGTTAACACCAGTACTCTAACACACTGTGCGCTGGGATCTTTAACGACCAAGTAATCATGACCCCAGTTTAATGTCTCATCCCCAGGATGGTACCCCTGCAGCACAGTATCTCTGGACAACACACTGGGAAACGGAAATTCTGGTCCATAGGTAAGAGCGCCACCTACTGATCCAACAGTATTAGTTACAACAGAATCCTGGTTTTCCTTGAAAGTCTCCCACCTCACCCTGTTGAGCTTCTGAGATGTGATAAGATCAGTCCCCGAGGTGGTAACGTGATTGAATGTTGTGTTTAAATTAAATAAATGCTTAAATGAAAAATAAGCAAAATTCTAGCAGGTCTACATGTGTGAATTTGTTCTGCGGTTCAGGAAGCCTCCGCCCTTGAAGTGATAGAAGCACCTTCAGTCAGAAGAGAATCTGATCATCTCGACAGATCGATGGAAGAGACTCAGTTGAAGTCTGCAGGGATCTGGGCAGGACAGGATAACCCCTGGAGCTCTCGCACACCACACCTAGCTCAACGGTGCACGGCGCAGAGCGAACATTCTAACAATGTCAGCATCAGCCCAGAAGAATGCGATGAAACACTTGATAAAGCCCCTGTGTGTCACAATGGGCGCAGGGAACACAGCAGGCTGCATGTCGTCCTGCTTCCTTCTGTACATTTTGCATCACGGAGCTCCGTCGCCTTGTGTACTTTCAGGGCTGCGTGTCGGCCTATTTAGGTCACCTGCACTTGACCCACTGAGGAATCTGGGGTATGAGGAGACGCCTGATCAGCAGCACATAGCTGACAAACCTCATCTCACGCTGTGATCAGAATGCAGGAATAGTTACACGTGAGATTTAACCCATCTAACCAGTGCGGTAGTTAATAGGTCATTGACTAAATCAGAATGAGAAAAGATCTCATCCAGATGTTTATTGAAAGACGCCAGGGCGCCAGCTTCAGGAACATGGCGGCTGAGAAGCTTGTTCCAGACTCCCACCGCACTTTGTGTCAATAAGTGCCTCCTGTTCTTAGTTTTAAAAGCACTTCCACGCAGTTTCCCCATATGTCCTCTGGTGTGTGTTTCACTGTAAGTTCTGAAGGTCCTACTGAGGCTGTAGTTAGTCCGAACGTAGCGCAGTGTGAAGTCAATGTCTCTACAAAAACACTGCCATCGATACACCCTGCAGGGGGACTTCAGTTGTAGCCTTTCCAGTCTTCTGCAATGGAATATTACTCAACCACCACATCTCATTTCACAACAAAAACATGTGATGGAGTAGTGTTTCAGCTTTGCGGTACAGCAAAGTAAACCACAATCAGCTGAGTGAAGGCTGTGTGGAGGGAGGTAAACAGATAATATATTGTCTGGATGCTGGGGAGACAAGCCATGTAGAGACTTGAATGTAAGCAGAAGTCAATTTTATAATTAACTCAAAACCTGACGGGAAGCATGTGCGAGGACTCCAGGTCAGGAGTGAAGTGCCCACTCGTTGTGTGTTCTGAAGACACTGTGACATATTAAGTGTAGTTTTACAGTCTCCTGTAAGTAGGTTGTTATTGTAATCAGTCCTTGAAGAGACAAACACATGAAGTCTTTACAATATTCTGAACATGAGGTTCAAAAATCAATCCAGAGTTGGAGGTCTTGCCCTCATTCTTCATTCTGGACAGAAACTCAAGTGATGTCAGAGGACAGGGATACAGCTAATGCTCATGTAACTAATGAGAGGTTCCCAGTAACATGGCCTTAACAAAATGTACAAAACAGCTACCTCAGGGTATAGTTTAGGGTGGACACAGATCTGAGCATCTGCATTTACATAGAAAATGGAACAGAATACAGCACTGAGGCACAATTAGCAAATGTTGTCATCAATCAAACCTTAGAACTAAAATTGTCAACAAAAATAAAAAAGGTTACATTCAGCAAAGCGAGATTAATCTATTAATGCACAAGAGCACAGGTTGGAAAATTTAGTTAGGCTGAGATGATATTTTAGTTGCCCTGCATCAGCTTGGTCTAATACTTTCACAAGAAAAGGCAAGTTAGATGTGGTCATTGGAGGTTCTTTTGGCACTGGCCTGAGTGCAGCTGCGATGCAAGCACGCTGGAGCTCAGGGTGCCATTATATTAAACACCCAGGGGCAGAGGGCTGACAGACAGGAATCAATCGCACACAGGGAGTGGGGTCCACAGACAGGGAGGGGGTGCCAGGTCAGAAAGACTGCAGGCATGAGCAGTGTGAAGTGAGAAAGAGGAGAGCCAGCAAGGGCAGGGACACAGAGAGGCACTGCTGTGGGGCGAGAGGAGAGGAGAGAATGTTGTTCAATGTTATCAAGCTTGGCTGTGAAACATTACAGAAAGGTTGTAGTAGTTCAGGTGGGGAGCTGCGTCAGCATGCGTATGCTGCCAAGGAACAAGTAATAGGTTTATTCCAAGCTGGTGTGAAGAAGGCTCCACGGCCGAAACGTTGTGTTTTCTTTCTTCTCTTTTCAGCAGGAATAAACCTGTAACTTGTTCCATTACAGAAATGTTTGCATGAATGAGGCGATGGAGGTGATGTGAGAGCACAGCAGGGCTTGAGCAGTCGGGTAATGCTGGAAGACAGGTATCTCGGAAGTTTCCTGATTATTATCAATAATATGAGAAACAAAAGTTGAGCACTTGTCTGAAACACAGAACCTGCGTTCCAACACCAGGAACTGTCTCCATACTTCTCCCCAGGGGTGAGGTGAGTACAGGAGATAGTGTCCAGAGTGTCAGGTGTGTGTCAGAGCGCTACTGAACTTCTGATCTTCCAGACTCTCAGAAGAGCATGATAGAGCAGAATCAGAAAACATGATCACCTGCGCTCCTCTTCTAACTCTTCTAACGTTCTTACCTTGAACTTGAACTTTATTGCCATATGTAACCGGTTGTACTGGTACAATGGAATTCTTACTTACAGAAAGTCTTTCGATTGCTACAAAAAAAAAAGTGTAAAAACACAAAGTGCAGACAGTGCATTAAGACAATATACAAACAAGCAGTAGACAATGTACAAGTAAACAAGTAAACAGTTTGAATGTAAACAATGCAGACGTGTAAACAATGACTGGAGATGTGCAATAAATAAGAAATCATAATGAGGTGGATGGTGTAGGTGTGGTCCGAGGGGCATGGCCAAATGTGTTCGCCAATCGCACTGCTTGTGGAAATTGGAAACCCAATTGTTAACAGCAAAAGCTTACAGATTGCAAACGATGGAAACGAACAGCCCAGGTGGATGGATTTCCAACAGTGGGTGGACACAAGCTTAGATTCAAGATGTGCCCTTAGCTGGGAGCTGGAGCACGGAGAGACCGTGCACCATCAGGACAATCCAAGCACTTCAGACCAGACTGTTGAGAGTCAATGTGGATATTAAATGCATCCAGGATTAAAATATTGTTAAATTTCAAAATAGCAAATGAACAAATTAACAAATTCACCTAAGAAGACAATTTTTGGCTTAGAAGGTCTAAAGGTTGTAAAAACGTTCCATAGCTTGGAGAGCAGAGGCTTTTAAAACCACACAGTTCAATGATGAATACTCAGGAATAGTGACAGGACTCAGACACAATATGAGGTGACACAATATACAGTGCCCAGATATAGTGGTGGCAGCATTATATTACACTCCTGCTTCTCATCAGCACTGGGAGAAGTGTCAAGACGCGAAGATAGCTGGAGCAAAGTACTTACAAAACGTAATGGAACACTTGCCTCAGTCTGCTAAAGATATAAAAAAAAATTCATGGTGTTTGCTGACAGTTTGTTTTGCTGACATTGTATTAATTAATGAGCCATTACTACTGCAGTTCCTGAAACTGCTATAGACTACCTTTCAAGTAGCATTTTACACTTTATAGTTCCTGTCATAGCTTTGAAAGGGTCTTAAGTTCCATAATGGACCCAGATGTGCAATTCTGAATCTTTAATTTACTCTATGCTGTATAAAAGCAACATATTATTGCAACATGATAATGTGATATTGTGCACAGTTTTCTAAAACGCATTTTAGGTCTTAGTCATGCATTGTACAATTTTAACAAAGTCCCTTGGTTTTAATTATGCACACCTAACAATATATCCCAACATACTATTTGCCTTTATGTTTGCCTACATTGTCTAGAAGGTTAAATTGTGATAACACACACCTAAGCTACAGTATGTCATAAGCAGCTTCATCAAATTCTGGATCTACAATCCTATATTTCTCAATTTTTGCTGCCTACAAATCTGCTCAGGTGCCCGATATGTTTCTTGAATTACACTAACATCTGCTGCTTGTCCTCTTATCTTGGTATCATCTGAAAATTAACTAGTTTACAAATTATACCAGACCTAGATCAATTCGATAAATTAGAAATGGTACTAGTACAGATCCCTGAGGAACTCCACCAATTATCAATTATTTGAGCATTCACCCCTTAGCTTTACTCTTTGCTTTTGATTCACAAACGTTCTCAATCCAAAGATACACATAATGTCCACTACCTTTAAATTGAGAATTAAACTCATTTCAGGGTGCAAATTTGAAAATGAAATTTATATTGCAGGTAAAGAAACAATCCACAAATGACAGTGCATATTATAACATATTATCTCTCTAATTAAATAAAACACTTTTAATTATATATCTCATCGTTTGTATTTTTCCTTTTTAATTGTGTCCCCACATTTTCGAGATTAAAATGCGTCCACAAACACTTAAGTCTCCATTGCTGTCAAAGGATGTAGGAGTTCCTTCACCTATCTACCCTATCATGTTAACAAAGTCTCTGGTCTTTGCATATTTGACTAAGCTCTGCAGGTAGAGCTTCTAAGCTTTTGAATGTTTATGGTTGGGTAGACAAAAAAAAAGTCCAGTTTAAGTGCATTTCAAAAGCAACTAGTAGTGACCACGCTGCACAAAGTGTACAGGGGCTTAGGAGGTGGACAGGGGAGTTACATGAAGCCCCCGCAGATGCACTTATCCCATTACCTACTGGGCAGGACTGGGATTAAATGGCACAGGAAGACCGCAAGGCAGCCTCGCCCCCACTCAACTACAGACCTGACGAGACCTTCTCCAGTCCATACAAACTCGGGACACAGATTTGGAAAACTAGACGCTAGTTCATACAAATGTTCCACTCATCTCATAAATAACCACAAAACAGGGCTTAAGAAACCGAGGTTTAATTTGAAGCCTCTGGGGGGGAAAAAAGGAATCACCAGACAAAAGACAAAAACACGGGCAGGGATACCTCACTTCCATTGTCACTTCTAGCAGTGAAAAATTGGTAACCACTTCCTTTAACACACGCGCTCCGTGACCATACGGTAGATGAAAGCTGGACCCACATGACAGGAAACAAGTATGCTCAGTCCCTCTTCTGTGGATAATCTTGGGTTTTAAAACAGGAATATCGGGGCAGACTGTTAACACTTGAATATACTGCAAGCTGAAGATTTTCCAGAGATGCATCTGAATAGATGGAGGAAAATGTTTGACCCAGGAAAGCACTGGCCATGTGAAAGGGGGGTGTTGGTTCCTCACAGCGGGCAGCAGAGTACCACTTGCATTTTGCTTCAGTCTGGGCTCTTCTCATCATTAGAAACACAATAAGGTAACAAGGGATCTGGAACAGTGCTGTGACAACTCTACACAAGGAAGGGGGTTACACGCTCTATGCCTGTGACTATGACAGACCACTCCCTTCTCCCCAACTCCCCAGGTATAAAATGTTATAAGAAAATCACATTAAGAACACTACAACACTGCATTCCCCTCACAGGTCATCGGCAAAGAAAAAAAATGTTTCATACGTTTTGATTTAAACGGGATAAAGAGACACGCAACACACACCAAAGATGACCTCTTACAGAGAGCCTATCCACTGTCTCTCTATGTTCACAAGACAAATAACTCTCCTGCAACGAGCTGGCAGGACACATCTGCACAGCAGAGGAGGATGGCAACTGTCGAAACACATCTGTGCAGTGAATCAACAAGGGCACAAACACCACTTGAACTTCTTGTACAGACAGTGAAATCAAACACATGTTCTTACAAAACGGCCTGCGGTCATGGGTATTATGAGACGGAGTTGTATTGTGAGGAGACAGAATTATTTTGTGTTTGTGTTTGGGGAAAAAAAAATCTGTTCAGAGGCCCTGGAAAGGAGGACACCACAAGAGGAAAGGGAACATTCTCCAGTTTCTCGAGAACTTGGGTCCCCACGTTTGGGGCAGAGCTCGACTCGAGCGACTTCTGTATGGCAGCCTGAAAGTGTTGTGTGTTGCGAGTGTTGTTAAGTTCTTATTAAAAACAGAAAATGCTAGAAAACACAAGGCTTGCAGATGGTACTGGAAGTCGTTTATAAATATACAGCAGGAGAAACTGTTAAAATATCCAAGAGATTTTCCTAGTATTTTGTGGAAAAGGGACTCAGCACTTATTTGACAATGAATATTTCTTCCTCCCGACCTCGCTACAAATTGTTGACTGCAGGCGACAAACCAGCAAGGACACTGCAACCAACACATTAAAATAAATTAACACAGAGTCATTGTCACCGACTACAGCGGCCCACTGCGCTGGTCCTTCGGCGAGCCAAAAGAAAATTCTATTCGCAGGAAAAGATATGAAAGACATCACGATATCTGGAAAATTTACTGGCATGTTCGGAAATTGGGGTTGCAGTTCTTCTAAAGGTAAAAGAGGAGGAAGAGGCTCCCCACAAACACCAAGGGGGCAATGCCATTTCATGGACTCCAGCAACACTATTTCATGTTTTCTGAACGGTGTGCTCCCATCCACCTTGTACGAAAATTCGAATGTACAAAAGAGTACCCAATTGATTTAAAAAGGTTTTACTCCAGCGCCTTCGGAAAATTTGCATTCTTACATCAAAAAACATCGTGAGGAAGTCCCAGAGAAGTGGGCGTTTCTCGCCCCCTGTTAATGTGTGCTGTTTTCCACCGCAGCGGGGCTGTGGTTATTCATGTGACCATCGGAGAGAGCCACCTGAAAGGAGAAAGACAAACAGCCTCACTAGTTCTGCAGGAATCACTGCTTCCACTTATCTTGTCAGGAGAACATGAAGTCGTTATACTGAACAAAACCCCTCATCAGCAGGTTTCTGGCCTTATAGACAAGGAAGGATGGATATTCCACACGCTCACATGAGAGCACATGGAGAACCTGCTTCCAAAGATTCTGAAGGTTCCACAATCCTGAAGAAATTGAAAAACAATTTCACATAGAAAAACGTGAAAATTAAGGCAAAACAAATTTTTCAGGCAGTTTCTGAAGACACATTTTAGCAAGCTACAAGAAAAGCTCTTCTTTTAGATGGAGCGCACTCCATTCTTGTTGAGAGAATATCTCTTCTGGGAGCAAAAAGAGGAATAATTCATAGTTATCACACTGACGATAATAATTGACTGTCAGTGAGCAGTTCTAAAGAAGAACTTAATTATTAGACTGACTTCTTTTTTTTTTTGTGATAAACCTGTCCTAACTAACTGTTCCTCAGGAAACACCAGCTGATCATATCCACTCAGACGAAAGAAGCAGCTAGGATTCTGCAAATGATCCAGGAAGCAGAAAGGAGAACAGAGAGACGAGAAGCTTGCCCATATCCAGGTTTAATAGCACAGGATAAATCCTCCTTTGTCTGCAATTAGACGTTTTGTTCAGGGAAACAGTAAAATCTCTGTATTCACCAGGGTTAGGTACCTTGAAGTTTAAACTGGCTACGATTCAAGGGCTTGTAAAACAAGAATTTCCATAGTAGTTTTGTAGCAATATTTTGATATGACTGCTAACCCTTTAAGAAATTGGTAGTGTGCATGGGCGTACAAATAAATGAGATCACTGCTATGATTTTATACCTTACACAGACTGTATTGAATTATTTTCTTCATTCTTAGTAGAGTGTCTCTTCTATGCCTTTTACATCTCATTTTTATTGCTATTATAAATGCAGTGCTGCTGTACTGTAATAAAGTTTATTACAGCACAGTAACAACAGACAAGAGAGTAGATTAACTGCACACACTCCCTTTGCACTCAACCAATTCTCCTCTTCTCCTGATTTGTCTATTTCTTATATATTTTTTTCTTATCTTTTTCCAGAACTGAGACTGTGATAACTTTGGAGACTACAGATTTTTTTTGTCATATAAAATTAAATTATTTAAATGATAATTATAAGCTATTTAAATTATTTTTTTAACAGCACAACACTGTCTTACATACAGACATTACTCTGGTAAGAGGTCTACACAAACAAGGCACATCTAACACTTTCCTGAAGGAAACTGAATAAAGCTTCACTCAAGACACACTGCTACAGAAATGTGTTAACCAAGCTGTGTCTTTACACAGAGACTACTGATGCAGCTCAGGTGAAGCAGATCAGAATGGCAATATATTTTTAATTAACTGAGCTGAACAGTGGACACCGAACACCGTTAAGACACTCCTTTTATATAACATACAGATCACAAGCACTGGGGCCCCTCACTGCCCTAAACAAAGCAGAAAGTCTAAATCTGAGCACCAGATTTCAGCAAAAACACAAAGAAAAACTGCAAATAAACCCTGTATGAACCCTCACCCAAGAGAAGCCTCTAGTCTTGCTAAAAAAGATTAAGGCACACCTGAGAATAACAAGAATGAGTTTGTTTTGCTGGAGAAATCTTGCCCACCAGTCTCCTCATTCTGTCACAGCATGGTGCTTTTCCCACGGGGACACAAACTGCTTGCATTGTGGGATTCTCAGCTTATACTGCTACTCAGACAGTACAGCCCGTCAGCAGGACTGCTGACCAGCCAAATCAAGAAATTCTCCTCAGGGGACTCATAAATGATCTTAGAAGTATAATTTCATAGAAAAACCACAAAGTACAATAATAATCAAATGATTTATACACACATAATACATATGAAGCATTCTATATAAAAAAGCCGGTCTCTATAAAGGGCTCGTCCAACTAGCTTGTAGAGAGACGGCACCACACTACAAACTGGCTGCAGTCCAGTTTGCTATCTAAACTTCATCCTAATTAATCTAAATAAACTTAATACCATAGTAGAGGGTTAGCCACAAACCCCTATGAGGATGTGTAATCCTTAATTTCTGTGCCTTGAGAAGAGCTGACATCTGGTTCTTCCCCACGATACTTGTGCAAAAGGCGTCCTCAGAAACCCACATCCAGTGAAGACACCTCCTGCTCTTAAAATAATCCTTCAGCGTGTCTGTCAACAGTCTCAGAAATCAAACTTACTTCCTTCGGCCTGTAAACACCCAGCTTAAATCGACAGCAGACAACGTCAACCAAGAAGCCCACAAGTCCATGGACCATGCCTAAAAAACAAAGACGTACAAGTGAGAAAAGAAAAATCAGTTGAAAAAACTAGAAAATACAAAATCAGATCAGTGGCTAAAAACAGAAGGGGTTTTGAGAAGCCCAACACGAGACGCTGCAGTAGCAGAACACAAAAAAAGCCACCTAAAGGCGAACAGGATTGCAAGCCGTCTGATCAAAGATAACAAATATATGAAAAAAGTCTAAGTATAAGGTTCTCTGGGAGAGAGCTTGACCGGGACTCCCTCAGCGGCCATTAGGGTGCAGGCTCAAGGGGGACAGGCACCTGCGCGACCTCCTGCAGCATGCTCAGCAACAGCTGCGCCCTCCCGTCGTGCGGTCCGAGCTGCGCTGCAGGTCTGTCACCCCCGGGCTGGTGGTGGTTCTGGTCTGGAACAAGCTTCAAAAACCAGCTGGGACCAATTAATGTAACGCCATGGTATTCCCATATTGATTCCGCAGCTCCTAACTCGATGACCATCACGATTCACGTATTAAAAAGTTTCAATACAGAAGTTCTGCAGAAGTGGGCAGACATTTCAGCAGGAAGTTTTGATTCCAAATTGGGAGGGTATAGAACACAAATGTGAGTGTGACAATTCCCGATCTTCACCTCCAGTGTATCTTACATCCATCCAGTCTCTAAGTGCTTCATCCAGAACAGGGTCTCAGGGCAAGCATCCCAGCAAGCCATAGGCGCAATGCAGGGTGCTCCCTGGACGGGACGCCAATCCATCGCAGTAAACACACAGATCTCACTCCCACCAGGGCCGATTTCCCCAGAAGCCAACAGAGCAATCGGCATGTCTCACAGGGAGAACACGCAAACTCCACACAGACAGCGCCCCAGGTCCAGGACTGAACCCAGGACCCCAGAGCTGCGACACAGCAATGCCAGCTACCGCACCACTGTACCCCCCCATGTATCTTCTGTCATGGAAGAGCTCACCTGTGGTGGAGAAGATCCCCCCGACGATGCCACACAGGCGGATGAGGAACTGCCAGAGAGGCATGTGCTGCTCCGTCACCGTCACCATCAGGGAGCTGATGTCGTACTTCATGAAGATCCCTGAAACTCCGTGGCTGCCCAAGGCATGGTTTATCACCCGCTCCTGCAGGACCAAGACCAGGATTAAAAGCAAGCGAGGCCTTTGAACACTCATTGGAAGAAACCGTCATTAACAGGCCGAAACGTTAAAAAGAAAACCCAGACACACACGCTTTCCAGCTGGCTTGGGGAGCAGAGCTCCATCGCCTTCCCTGGCCGGAACAGCTGGGAACAGCTGGAGCCAGCAGAAGGCGCAACTCAAGCACAGCTGGAAACGATCCGCCTGATCACGCTCCTGCTGCAGCCTGGGCTTCAAACCGAGAACGGGAGGCACTCCTTTACACAGAGGGTTGTGGGGGACTGGAACCAGCTGGCCAAAACCAGAGCTTCCAAGTCTGGGTCTGGTCTGGAACAAGCTTCAAGACCCAGCTGGGACCAATTAATTAAACGCCATGATACTCCTATATAGTTTCAGCAGCTCCTAACTCGATGTGAATCGCAATTCATGTAAAACATCCTTTCATCACAATATCCTTTTTTGAAAGGTTTACTGATGGTTTATTGCGAGCTCGCTAAAACCAACTGTCGGCACAGCAAACCACATTTTTTGTACCGGTGCAAAAATGAATTCAAACAAAGATGAGCAAAGCTGGTAATTTTCCCTAGTATGTCACATTACACTGTTCAGTGAAAAGGTGTTTGCCCCTTTCAGATTTTCTTACTTTTTCTATATATATATGTTACTGAAAGTTATCAAAGCTCCATGTGGGTCCTCATGACTTGTGGTGGGAGGCTGAGTGAACAAAGAACACACAGACTTTGGCTCTCGTCATTCGGCACACGGAAGCCAGAGGGGCTGCACTGTACGAGGCAGATCGCTGCTCCTTGGACGTACCCTCTCGGTGACCGAGTACTGATGAGTGTCGGCGGAGATCTTGTATGTCTTGAGCTTCGTTGGCACTATTGTGATGAAATACTGGAACATCTGGTTGTCTGAAACAACAGCACAGAATCAGCGCTGGTTTAAACAACACAGTGTCGCAAAAATACAAGGAAAACAGCCTGCTGAGTGCTGAGCATAGGAGAGATATATGTTGTATCTAATAGATCTTTCCCTGATATACATGATCTGAGATGTTCGATACAATATATACATGGATATACTGTATATGCACACAGATGGAGAGAAAGCAAATTAATAAAACCAGTTTAAAGTAACTACAGAAGATCAACCATTGTTGAAAGTGTTTGGATGGTAAAACACAACTCGTGGCTGCAGCCACAGACCTACAGAAGCACTTAGCACCAAGGAGAAAAAACTATCTCAGAGCAGAGATAAACACTGCGACCGCCCCCCTCTCTTTACTCAGCACTCTCTCTGCCAAATCAAAATATATTTGATACAGATTTTTTTTCCCCAAATACTAAAAACAGGCCACAGCCTCCAGCAGGCCCTGCTGGATTGTCTTCAAATAAACTTGACAATGATGACGGACGAATGGAAGATTAAAGAGGCTTTCGTGAAAATCTAAATCTGCTTTTCTACATCAGTAGGATTGCTCACTTATGGATATTTAAAAAAATAAAAATATTTCACTTCAGTTTTTCAGTTAAAATTCAAAGAACTACTTCTTGGCAAATCAACAAAGAGACAATTATTTCCCCCTTCCAGCATGAACGAGACAGATTAAGACAAACATTAATCTACTGGTTTTTGCTTTTACATAATAACTTCATCTTACGGTCAGAACAAATTTTTTCTGTTCCATCCAAGGGATTAATGATTCCTGGAATTTCCTCTCCAAAAGACAAATGGTCTATTCGATGTGAGAAGTTGTAGGCTGTAATGCAAGAACAAACTCACGTCAACAATAACAACAAGAAAACCACATTAACCTCAACAGCTTCCTCTGAGCAGCAAGAGTTCCGTCTTCTAGAACAAAGTGTATCAACTGAATTCAATCGACAACTCAACTCGAGGACTCAGAGATTTCCCCTAATATCACGCAAGCACAAGGAATAATATCAGCTCTCTGGGGACTCTTCTTGGAAAGGTCTGGGAAAGCCTCTTTCGTGTCCCACCCAGGTACTGTATCTGGGACAGTTTCCTCAGCCAGTCCTGACAGGAGACAGCAGCCACCACTATAAGCCTAGCTACTGTATGTATGACGGTTGAATGCATCTAATTATTTTTCCTGGTCAGATTTGTTTAAATAATGGCTTATTTTCCTTCTTCATGTCAAGGTGATCTGTTGTGTTTTTGGGCTACTTGAGTATTTTCCACAAAAACGCTTTGAGAAATACATTTTAAGTGGAAGAAAAGACCTTCTCAGCAGAGCGAAAGCTCCCTCATGAGGCCAGTAACTGTAAATGGTCTCTGCCCAAGATCAAGCCTCTCCTGCACTCTGCTACTGGCTCATCACTGTACTGGGTCTTCACAAACAGGTACTGAAATAACATTCACATGAAACAATTAAGCAATGGAACAAGTAAAGGTTTATTCCATGCTGAAAGCTTGTAGAGCCTTCTCCGAGTGAGAGAAGTGGTTCTTTGGATTGTGTTTTCTTTCTTCTATTTTCAGCAGGGAATAAACCTTTACTTGTTCCTTTGCAGCCTGACGCCTGCTGACGCAGCTCCCTACTTGAAATAACTAAGCAATGGGTTGCGCTTCTAAAAATCAGATTTGTCGTTTTCTGTGACTCAGTTATGGGTAATCTCTGCAGTTTTTAGCAGCAACGACTACCTTATCAGTAGTAGTTTAACCTCTGGAAGCCTATGGGTGCAGTTCCTAGGTCCTGCTGTTGTACCTTAAACACAGCGCTCCACTCTGACTGCTCCAGTAAAATGCCTTATATAAATATATAAATTGCTTTGGATATCTGGTGAGGTACACATCAATGAAATAAAAAAAAAACTTTTTTAAACAGATATATTCTTCCTCAGTGGAAACCGGCAACAAAAACAACTTTCATGCAAATGTGTTCAAATACATGATAACCTATGTTTCCTTACGATACACTTCAGCCACAGGGCTGCCGTGTGTAGGCGTGGGTTGATCAGGGAAAAGTAGGATTCATTAGATGCAAATATGGCGAGCCGAACGGTACTTACTCTCGTGGCTCACAAGAGCTGCTAGATGAGCGTGGCCCCGTGGGTGAGGAATAGCCCTGTGGGAAACAGCAGCAAAGACTTCTTATAGCAGAAACAACCGCAGGGAGCTCCGACACACTCGGACACACAGCTCGTGCCTCAGACCTCGATCACACTCTCAACAAATTCACTCATTTCCTCATTGATTACAGACCTGATTCACCAAGAGCAAAAAGAGAATATTGCCTTTAAAATAGCCCATTAGTATTGTATTAGACATCCACACTTAGAATTACAAAGCTACAATCAAGCATACATATTTTAAGTAATAAAACACATCCCCAATGCTTAGGTTTGCTTCAAATGTCAGCATTGTAATGTGTTAGTTTTCAGTGTGTTGTGAACATTACAGTTTTCTGTACTATTCTATTCACACTAGAAAATAAATTAAAGAGGAACTGCAGCGCTATTTTTATATTTCGGGGTTAGAAAGCATCAGCACTGATAAGTGCATTCCAAACCACAATAAAAGGAAAATCTAGACAGAAACTTGTAAAACCTGCAATTTACATCAGAAAATAGATTACATTTCCAGGTATGAACAGCGCCATGTTCTGTGATTCAGAACGAGGCGACAAAACCTTCGGTGAGGTGAAATAAGCAGGCTTGTGAACGCTCTTTTAATCCTACAGAAATATTGCTTTCGATTTCAAGAAGGTTTTGCCGACAAATACTACTTAGTTGTTAACTCTACATGCAGATCACGTTGGAACATTTTTGCGGTGAGAGTTCTGCTGCACAACCTGTACTTATTTGCTCGTACAGTACATCACATCACATTAATCATTACAGTGACTGGTGAGCAGGAAGAGTCGCTTCATGTCGCAATTCGTGGGAACTTGAATGCCAGTTTGCAACAACACTGGGACTTACAGTACTTTCACAAAATGCACAATTCTGTGCTTAATTTTGTAAAATGTTTCTATAACATTAATTAATTTATTTTGTCACCGAGATTTAATTAACGGTCAAAGTAATTGGGACTGCAGTTCCCTTTTAATTATGTGTGGCATGTTTCTTCTGGAATCATGGCATGTATCACAGATATCACTGGACATAAACTAAGCTGAAAACTAAAAATGTATACACAAGTTTTTTCAATGAAAATAACATACTTGCCCACTGTAATGTGAAAGTTCCCTGCTACTTTATTGACATAAAGGTGCCCGTGTATCCTGCAGCCATTGGGAGGCTGTGAAAGAGTGTCTTCTCTGTGGAAAAGGAAAGGCATCTCGTTATTGAACATGATGGCTGACACAGCTGCAGTATTGTTAAAGCACAACGGTCATGGACATGCAGCCTTTTCAGAAAAAAAAAAACAAGACAGACTAGTTCCTGCTTTTCCAGTTCCAGTATCTGCTGTATATCTGTACAGTCCTCTGCAGGTACTCTCAAACGCCCTAACTCAGGTGGCAAGAAGATTTAGGTTATGAACAAGAGCTGCATACGAGAGGCAACATTTACAACTACAATAAATGCAGGACTGGGGAAATTATAGGATAAAATGGGGGTTTTGCGAAGCTTTTACTTTTAATTTTAATCCTCATTTCCTGGAACACAATAAATGTTAGCTGTGCCTTTTCTCTACAAAAGCTTATAATAATAATAATAATAATAATAATAATTGCTTACACTTATATAGCGCTTTTCTGGACAGTCCACTCAAAGCGCTTTACAGGTAATGGGGATCCCCTCTACCACCACCAATGTGCTGCATCCACCTGGATGATGCACCAGTACACTCCCCACACATCAGCTCTCAGTGGGGAGGGGAGCAGAGGGATAAAGCCAATTCATAGATGGGGACTATTAGGAGGCCATGACTGGTAAAGGCCAGGGGGAAATTTGGCCAGGATGCCAGGGTTACACCCCTACTCTTTTCGAGAAACACCCTGGGATTTTTATTGAACAGAGTCAGGACCTCGGTTTTACGTCTCATCCGAAGGAAGGCGCCTGTTTACAGTATAGTGTCCCCATCACTATACTGGGGCATTAGGACCCACACGGACCGCAGGGTGAGCGCCCCCTGCTGGCCCCACTAACACCTCTTCCAGCGGAAACCTTAGTTTTTCCCAGGAGGTCTCCCATCCAGGTACTGACCAGACTCACACCTGCTGAGCTGTAGTGGACTGCCAGTGGTGAGTTGCAGGGTGATATGGCTGCTGGCCATATCTTAAATACTGTCTTAAATAGCTTAAATACTGTCAGACTACCAGCCTAAAATCGACACCTGAAAGTCAGCCTAAAGATAAGATTCAAACATGCAGGGCAATTGTATGATTGTTAATGTATTTATCTGGCTGATATTTTTAACCAAAGCAACAAACTTTAGTACCCACTTGTATACCGGGCACGTTTCGTGATCGCCGCCAGAAGGATGTGGGTAAAAGCACAAGTTCACAGCCCTAACCACTACTCCACACCGCAGCCCACATATCACCAACACCAATAACTGTTTTTACAACGTTAGAAAATACGTTAGAAGCAAAAAGGGGAAGAAAATGTTTGCACTAAAGTGAAAAGCTTTCAAGGTTGGTCTGCTCATCTCCCTTTTCATTGGCCTATTTGAAGTCCTTATAATTCCTTCCTTGTCCTCAAGCAGGACTAATCGATGCATGCTGATAAGGCAGACGAAATGTTAACCCTGTGAGCGTGCTCACCGAGGAGGCAGGGCTGTGGAAGCCCCCTTCAAAACATTCTTGAACAGGACGTCCTGAAGTGAGTGCTCTTCTCTCATCCTGTTCTGTATGAGGAGGAGCATCCTGGGGCAGAGGAGAAGGACAGCGTGAGGGAGCAAGAGGCGGCGGCTTTGGAAGACAGACTCCTCCTGAGGACAGGAGCCCAGTGGGATGGGACACACCCGGACTGACTGGATAACTGGCATCCCCAGAGCGCGAGACTTCAGAGTGTGGGGGACAGGAGCAGGTAGGACTGTGCAATAATTCACTCCCCTGGACTAACAAGAGGAGGAGGAGGAAGAAAAGGGTGTCAGTCTGTGTCGGGCTCCAGAGGCTGAGCGTGCTCCCCACCAGACACTGCTGTTGATTCACTTCGCCACCACTGCTTCGATCCACCCAGAGGAAAGGGGGGTTCCGAGTGCCTGGGCTACGCAAGCAGCCATTCAGGTCGACGCAGAGTGACAGGCAGACTCAAGCAGTATTAGGGGATGTGTGAAAGACTACTTTTGATTAAAAGAGAAGAAAATGGGGGCCATCCGGCTCATCAAGCTTGTTCGATGAAAGTGTACTTGTCAAGTTGCCTGTATTGAAGGAAGCATGCCGTACCTTTGCCACAGTCTTTGCTGGGGAGACAGTTCAAACACCACCTGCAATTACACAACAGGCACAGGTGAGATGTTCAGTGACATAAAAATCAACCTCATCACAAAGCACAAAAAGACAGGCAGTCTGACGAGTGGAATCCCTAGGGAGATCCTAGGCAGGATTCTTGCCAGCCACGCCTGTTCTACTTACTGGCTCATACTCCAGTCCATCTGATGCGGTTACCATGGTTTCTGCTAGGTCTAACACATCTGCTCCAACATCTGGTAGAGTGGAAAAACAAAGCCTGACATGTAAAATATTCAGGAAATGGGGAAAACTGCATTTTTCTATAGTACCTAGTAAACATCTGCTTAATCACACATCATCCTTCTTGATCAGTAGAACAGTAAGCAAATCTCATGTTTTTAAGGTTGTCCGATATAAGTCAAGGGGCAGAGTAACACATGACAGTGAGCTTCTGCTGCAGGTAATATGATAGGTAAATTACAGGGCTCTTCTTTCTCTGAAAAATAACTGATAACATAGCACCAGAGCCTCTAGCACATAAACTGCTAAGAAAGGCAAGAGAGAAAACGAAAGGCCAGCTCTTGCAAGAGAACACACACGAGGTCATAAACCAGGTCACGTTCCAGTCTCTTCTTTCAGCTACAAGAGGCGTCTTAAAGAATACTGAGAACAATACAAGCAGTCACACTGGGGAAGCATCTGATGCTATTCTTCCCAGGGTCCCTAGATGTGGGGTGAGACAAAACCACCCACTAAGTGTTGGTACACAACTACCTGTTACAGCTGCATAACCATTTTCAGAAAACATTCTTAGTTCAAATACCTGGGATAAAAGTACTTACACTGGCATCGCATTGCAACTGTAATATCTATATTGATTCTTAATTTACTGTAAGAGAGAGAGAAAAAAAAGCAGATCAGATCCAATAGAAAGGTTTTATTGAAAAAAACAACAACAACATGCCAAACTCCAGAGTATAACCTGCGCCCTCTAACATATCAATGCTCCTTTGCCTTTGGGTCAGTATTACACAGGCAGGCTGAACTGTAGACATTATGACACCATTTCATTTTCACCTAACCTAAACAAAATAGTTAGAAATACCTATGACCAGCTTACAAAATACCTTTGTATTGTATACTGTACTGCATACGCTTCACGACAACAGTCTGGACCTCCAGTCAGCAGCAGCATTTAAAAGACCCATCAGCTGCATAATTTGAATTTGTGTCTCAGTACATCTCAGTGTGCCTAACTACATTAGGCTTGATGTTGGAAAACTGCCTGAAGGGGCATTCTGTATTCTGTCAGGAGCCCTTGTGAGTGATCTTGCCCTCACACAGTATGTGATGGAAGTTCTGTAAAGCCATGCTACAGAGCCAGAGGTGCAGAGCACACAGTGCAATCACAGACTTGTCACAATGAGGTTTCCTACGCTGTTTGTAAGTTCACAACAGTGAACCAGATTCCTGAACAAGCCTGTCACCACAGGAGCCATAAAACTAAAAGAGGGGTAAGACTTACACTACACTGTGTTCATTATGAAAATAGTCAAACTAAAACAAAAAGACATACAAAAACATAGCTGGGAGTCCAGTAAAGCATGTTGTAGGTGAAGCAGTCTTGTACACAGAAAATCAGGGCATTTAGCTGCTACTATGCTGGTATACTATGTACATAAAGTAAGGGCTGCAGGAAAGCAGATCCCTGAACAATTTAGATCAACAATACTGCATATCAGCAGTGTCCCAGTGCTCCTGAAAGAAGCGCAGTTTTGTCTCCATTCTGAAACAGAGGAGGGAACCACAACAGTAAACAAGTCTGTGCAATAATTCATTTGTTCACTTCATCATTGTACTTACAGTACCTAAAGAAGGCAGACGTACAGTCCTTAAATTGTAAAAGGCATCTCATTATGAGCACGGAGGAAGAAAATAGGACCAGAAAAGAACACTCTGCGATCAACGTAAATATTACTGCAGCTGGGGCAATACAGCTTTATTGCAAAATGAAAAGAAAACAGTAACAAAACATACCTAGAAAAGTCCTTGTCAACTTCATACTCGTATTTCATCCAGGTATCCCGATACACAAAGAACTCCATGAAGGCCAGCAAAGCCATGGCTGTAAAGGCTAGCAGAGACACTGGAGAGGGAGAGAAAGGAGTGAGTGCCGAAGCCACTTATTCCTCAAACCAGTCTTGCTCATCCATCTCCTTTAGTTGCTAAACTCATTCAAGAATAATATTTATTATAGATGCAGAACACAGAGAATTGTAGGGTTTAAAAGTATTGAACTACAAGATCCAATACGTTCACAATTGACAACGAATTAACAATTTCCATCACACCAGCTGTGCCTGGAGAACACGAAAATAAAACAAATAACTGATCAATCAACAAATCAGGAAAGGAAATGAAAACAGGATAGCTGTAACAGTAACAGTGCAGAGAAAACTCAAATGTGGTAATTTTTCATAAAAGACTTTATGAACAGAACAGCCCAGAGATAAAGAGCTCAACTCACAGCAAGTTCAGTTTCAGTAACACTGTTGAAAGGTGTAAATTAGCAATCAAGTTCAAATGTTTCAAACAAGAATGGATTATAGAAACACAACAGCCTACAGAAAGAGAAGGGGTGACCGTCCCTGATCCTGGAGAGCCACAATCCAGCCAATTCTGGGGGCGACCCTTAAAATAGCAATTTCTAAACATTTATCAAACGAACATTTTCCCTGAAGCATAATATGTTCAATGAAGTGCGGTCAGAGATCATCTGAAATAAAAATGCAGGAAGTTCCCGATTTATGCTGCAGAGGTGTTCCCAGAAGCCTCTGCATTAATTAAAACCAGAACTTCTTTTTTAAAGGAACTAATTTCCTTAAAAATGCATCCACTCCCAATCTGTCTGAACTACAAGATAAAAAATAATACACTTTTATTCATACAACATATTTCTGTAGTAGCACTAAGTTATTGTTAAATATTTATGAGCAATTTCATGCGACATGCAAAAGGAAGCCTGTTGTTAGTGGTGCCAGGTGAACAGGGCCCTTAGTGTACCTTTTAAACAGCATCTGTTTTCTCATCTCATAATTAACATTGCGATTTGGTTTTGTAATGAAGCTTCAGTGGTGTGCATGGGGAGATGGCTTGTACCTGGGAAGAGGCTGTCCCGCCACCTGTGTGTCTCACTGGTGCACAGCTGGGTACAAGCCATGTGTGTGGCCCTAAGACTTCAAGCTTTCCATTGCCAGCTGTGCCCAAGTGCATTAAATAGAGAACTAACAGTGTCTTCAATTAAGAAGTGGCATGCATTCCTAAGGTGCATTAAACTTAAAAAACATGTAAATTAAAATCACATAAAACTGCAGAACTGTAGTACTTCCCCATTCCTGACTTCTGAACCAATGAACCCACTCCAGTGATCACAATACACAAGTTGTAAGGGTGGCTGGCTCTCCAGGGACTGGTCAGGCTTGGTACAGCAGCTGCTCTTCACCAACTGCACCAAGTGTCTCACTTGGTGGGTCTGTCTGCAGGAGTGAACACAGCACCTGTGCCTCCACTGGCCGTCGTCTCCACGTAGCTTTCGGGAACCTTCGGAAAAGCGTCCAGCTCCTTGACCAGGTTGAGGGCTTTCTTCCGGTTCAGTCGCCTCATCTTCGGGGGAGTCCTCCTCTTCTACCTTCATATATCCCACCTGAGCAGAACACAGGCCCGTTGACCGTGAGAGAAGCCCCAACAGACTATTGCTGCTCATAATTAGATCGAACTGACCTGCTGGACTGTGCTCGGCTCTTAAGGATGTTGGAAGTTGTCTTTTGTACTCTTGCATTCATAACTTAAACACAACTCAAAATCCTCAATTGAAAAAAAAAATGCAAATATCCCCACAAAGCCACCTGTTATTTCAAATAAGGTGTCAATGAGGTCATGCAGGTCAGCTGGAATGAAGACCAGCAGCTACGTGGGCCTTCGGGAGAATGAAAAGGCATTAGTGTTACACTACTGTAGCGCTCTACTCTCTGGGGTTTCTAAATCCACATTGAACAAACCCCAGTACATCCAAAATTCGGCAGCCACAATCCTGACCAGGTCTAATGCAAGTGATCACATTACTCCTGTCCTGGAGTCCTTGGACTGGCTTCCTGTTACATTTTGCGAAAACTTCAAAATCCTCATGCTCACCTATAAGGCTCTGCATGGCTTGGCACCTCAGTACCTGTCTGAGTTACTATCGCCCTACTCCCCACCTCGCAACCTTCGCTCTTCTAATTCTGGTCTCCTGTCTGTCCCCCAAGCCCGTCTACACTCTGTGGGTGACAGGGCTTCTCCTATTATGCCCCTAAGCTCTGGAACTCTCTGCCCAAGGATATCAGAGAGTCACCTTCTCTAAACTCCTTCAAATCCAGACTCAAAACCTTCTTCTATATAAGAGCCTTTATTTAACTGTTCTTTACCCCTCTGCTCCTGCTGTGTTCAGTACCCCCATCTACTGTCTCCTCTCACTGTGTATTCTCATTGTGCGCATATCTTGTGTATTTGTTTTGTTGTTTGTCGTTCTGTAAAGAAGCCACCTTTAAAGGCGCTATATAAAATAAAGTTTTTATTAATTATTATTATAGTGTGCATTTTTATTCATGTTACTTCCCCAGACCAGTAATACCATCAAAACACTGCTGGACTGGAAAAAGAGCAACCAGAGATGTCAACATTTCCCTGTTTACTCAGACACCCTATACAGGATCATCCGCTGTGGTATCCAGATGTTTTCTGCATGTTATCCAATTGTTCAAATGCTTCTACAAAGTAAGGTATTTAAGCGCGTCCCTGCACAGCAATACATTGTAAACACTACTTTAAGCCAGATGTTCAGAAGTGCTGTTGGGTCGCCAGCAAATACGTGGTCGCTAAGGTCTGCTGAACCAAGATTTACTACAGAAGGAGTGGAAGAGCATCTCTGCTGTTACAGAGTTCTCCATCTGGGAAACACAGTGTGTTAAGTCGTTGCTTATGAGTCAGCTGTGCCCATTCAAACACGCAGCGACACCCCGGTCACGGTAACAGTGAAGGCAGAGGACTACACTGAAATGGCTAAAAACTACAAGATAAACTACGACCCTTCTTTACAAATTACGGCTGATTACATCACTCCTTACAAAGTGCGTAACTGTTTGACACCTGGAACTAAACTGGGGGGGGGAGGGTTACAATTCAACCATGCTGGATCTGTCATATAAATGTCGGCAATCTTATGACCGTGGAGAAAGGAAGACTTGTCTTGTAGATAAGAGTCATCAGATGACATCACGCAGGTGAATCTTCCGTGGTTCCGAGAGCCGGAATACGGGGTCAGCGCTATGGACTATAACTGGGAAACTGTGGTTCAGATACCGGGTGGGGCTCAGTTACCTTCGGCACGGTACATCTGTCAGATATCCAGCTGTGCAGAGGCGCGTCACTTTGGATTAACGAGTCTGACGTGATCATAATAAACCACACGAAGCGTAAAAATGTTGAAAGACTACCGCGAGAAAATTAATTAAATCTATGTCAATATTCAACTTTCTTGACAACGGAAAGGAAGTCAGGTACGATACCAAATAAAAACAAAATGAATTTCGGCAAACAATTTCCTACACGGCGCCTTTGCTTTAACACGTTGAAAGCAGGACCATATTATTGGAAAAACAGAGCAAATGTCTATAAATCAAGAGGCAACCAGCTGCCCCAGCGAGGGCTGTCTGTTGCTTTCTCACCTTACTTACATGAGTTTCAGATCCTGGATCCCCACCGGAATCTCTGCCCGCAACTCGTCTAAACAATATTCATTGCTCACACGCGAGGCACACAAAAACTCAAATAACCGGATTTTTCGGGTAATCCAACCGAGCAATTTTCTTCCTGTGCAGTTTCTGTCGGCACTGACTGTGTCTAACCTCTCGACCTTTCCCCTTTGACACAGGACACAACGAGAGCGACACGGCAAGACGAGCGCCGTGACGTCAGCGGCAGCGGCAAAGTGGCAGGGGTCTTTTTTAGAGCGCCCCCTGGGTATGCATGAGGAACTAATCCTGGGCAAGGAAGGAGACGCCTGGGTCACAGAGCACTGTAAAAATAGGACAAGAAGGAAACACGGAGCACTTAAATTGTGCTTCTCTGGGTTTAGGGATTCTGCAAACACCTTAAAATCAAACTCAAAGAGTCCTAGGAGTCCCTGTGTTTCTCCAGAGAATTAATGTGATGTTTGTCTGAGATTAAACTGAGACTGCAGCAGTATTACCATCTCACAGCCAGATCCCGGCTGAGCAGGACTGAGCCTGGTCAGGTCTGGGATCAGAAGCATTTAAGGAAAACAAGTTTGCTGCTGCAAGTGCCGCTGGTGGAACAGTAGGCAGCGCTCTTCCTCGTAGACGATGCTCCCGTACAGTGATACTGTGCCGTAGGATGTACTGTCCTTAAGAAGATACATTACACAGAGGATCTATTTGGTTAAGATGCTGTTGCAGTTTCTAAGAGTTTGGGCATCAACACTTAGATCTCTGCTAATTTCCACTCTGGCCTCCCTGAAGTTCTCTCTTAACTCAGGAAACAGTATCTCACTCCTCTTTGCTGGTACAGAATGGCCTCTGTGTCTCCCAGTTGGGGCTGCTGGTGCTGAATGGCTGCTGTGTGTCACAGGTTACTGCTGTTCTCAGTAGGGTCCCCTACTGTATACTATGTAGTC